CGCGGCGCCAGCAGCCTGAGGGAAGTGCTGTGACTGGGCGGCCGAGACCCCCAGTCATATGCACCCCCCTGGGACGAACCCACAGGCCACCCCGCCGGAGCGGGGCCGTCGTAGCCGACCCACCGCAGCGGGCCTGCATACGCTCGCTGGTCATCCAGGGGAGACTCCAAGGATCCTAGACATCCAGCCTGTCGCCCGGACAACACTTGCTAGAAGATTCCTCTGAAAAAATCAGGAAGAAGCAGGTAAGAATACCGCAGAAAAATTCTTAGCTCCTTACTCCTGACGCTAGGCAAAAAACTGGAGACTTGTCAGTAGGTGGGGGGTTTGGCCACCGGCAGGGGCCGCCCCTAGGCTGTAATTGGTCTTTAGTTTTTTTGTGCCTAGCGTCCTTCTCCTGCAGGTGGCGATATTACCTACAGTACATGATCTCCGATCTGTTCCCTGTGTCCTTCAATGAACGGGAGAGAAATGGAACCCTATAATCATTATCAGAGTGCTGTGTCTAAGTGCACTGCCCTGTGTTAGCATTTCAAGAAGGGGAAAGGAGGCCTACAATCTCCACCTGTGGATCAATTCTATATTATCAAAGCATTTCCACACACTATTGCCAAAAGTATTGGGACGCCGGCCAGTACACACACCTGAACTTTCATGGCATCCCAGTCTTAGTCCATAGGGTTCAATATTGGGTTGGCTCCACCCTCTAAGGAGCAGAGCAAAGCTTTCCAGGTGAAAGTTTTTTTTTTCCCCTCTGATTTACGGCCAGCTACGGCCCGATGTCAGAAAAAAGAAAACAACGGAGAAAGTTTTGCTGTGCTCGATCGAGCAGGCGACCCCCCCGGCAAATAGTCATTTGACCCCCACGTTGAGAACCGCTGCTCTAGAGTCCAGTGGCGACGTGCTTTACACCACTGCATCCGACGCTTTGCATTGCACTTGGTGATGAAGGCTTGGATGCAGCTGCTCGGCCATGGAAACCCATTCCGTGAAGCTCTCTACGCACTGTTGTTGTGCCAGTCTGAAGGCCACACGAAGTTTGGAGGTCTTTCTTATTGGCTCTGCAGACAGTTGGCGACTTCTGTGCACTTCAGCATGCGCTGATCCCGCTCTGTCATTTTGCGTGGCCTACCACTTCGTGGCTGAGTTGCTCTTGTTTCCAATCACTTCCACTTTGTTATAATACCACTAACAGGTGACTCTGGAATATTTAGTAGCAAGGAAATTTCACGGAACATCTGAATCCAATGATTTGGAGGCGTGTCCCAACACTTTTGGCAATATAGTGTATCTATACCAATAGAGAATATCTTCAATGCTACCAACATGTCTTCCACATAAGTCACTTTAGCTGTACCTACTGCAAGCAGACTGATAACTGAAAAGAGAATGTGTTCTAGCAAGGCTGGTTCACACCAGATGAAGCATTTTTGCTAACCCAAGACAAATGCACACACATGGAAAATCCATTATTTTCCCCAGAGCCTGTTTACACCAGTGTGTAGCACAGAATATTGCTGCATTATGGTTGTGTAGACCTAACGGTTTGACATTTAAGTTGCAAAAAATGCAACCAAATGCACATTAATGCATGCATCCCGGTGTGATAATCGACACTCCTGGACTGAATATCACTGCTGTCAGCTTCCACTACTTATAGACAGTCGTTACATGCCATCAACATGAACATAACCAAGAGGAGGACCCCAAAATGTGAACTGCCTGCAACGCACTGGTTTCCGTTCTCTTGGAATCACTGACCCAGGACAGGTATGCAGAAGTTCATCACTCCGGCTTCACCGCCTATGTTTTAGGTCAGCTACTCCGAACTAAAGTCAGGCAAGGACTTTAAACAGCAAAGGAATTACAGCCTCCATATATCTTGCCTTTCATTTCCCATCTCAACACTTACTGTGCCAATTAGAAATAGGACCCACGCTCTGATTTCTAACTTACATTATAATAAACAGACTGCAATGGGGAGGGGGCAGTCAGAAGTGTTATAGTAGTAGATGGGACTCCATGGTTTGTAAGATCCATGGTGGTGATCTCACTGGCCAAATTCTCAGAAGTCATAGGGAATTCAGAGTGTATGACTCAACCAAACACCACATATCACTTCAGGGGTGGACTGACCCTTCAAACAATTTAGTACCAGCAGGTCATGGGATAACATGCACATATCAGAAATATGTAAGTAGAAAATACCTTTCATAGTAACATTTACACCAGATGCTAGGAACAGCCCTCCAAAGCGGTTGTTGAATATCTGATTGCCTTCAAGGGTCGCAGTAGCATGGTTTGTAATCTCAATCCCTTCAAGCAGACAAAAACATATATTTCAGTTAAAAAACTTAGGCAAAACATTTATTCTTAAAGTGAATCGGTCTCAAAGCTGTACAAATCAAACTGAAATAAGCAGAGGTTACCTTCATTCAAAAACAGGATTTTGTTCTTACCAAAAAAATCCTATTCTCCAAGCCCATTGAGGGACACAGCACTGAAGAATTCTGAGATATAAGGTTATGCTGCTGCCTCCAGGAAAAATGGACAATAGGCAAACAAATTAAAATCCTGTCACTTTAAGGACATAAACCCCCCCACACACCTGCCAGTTGTAGCAAGCAGTACAAGGGAGCTTGATGGGAGAGAGCCATGTCCCTCAATGGACTCTGAGAAAAGGATTTTATGGCGAGAACAATTTTCTCCATCATCCGTTGAGGGACACAGCTCTGAAGAATTCTGACGTATAGGGACGTTCAAAAGCAGTCTAAAACAGAGGGGCAGGCACCACAACAACCAAAGCACTAACCCAACAAAAAAAATGAACTGTCAAATACTTAAACAGCTGCCTAAACTGTCATCAGAAGAGGCAGAAGCATCAACTTAATAAAAATTGGCAGAAGAGTGAACACAAGACCAGGTGAAGGCCTTTTTAGGTAATAGAAGCACGATTTTAAAACACCCAAGAAGTACTAACTGTCCCAGCAGAACGAGCAGAAACTGGAAAAGGTGGTACATTGTCCCGCAACTCATAAGCTTGAATGACAGGCTGACGACTCCACTAAGAAATAGTGGATCTAGAAGCTTAACAACCTTTTTTTAGGCATTTCTGGAACGACAAAGAGTCCGAAAGCTGAAAGGAAGCTGTGGCTGAAGATAAACACTAATTGCCCAGATGAAATTTCCTAAGGATGAACAGGAGCTGCACAAAGTGAAGGTAATAAAAAGTCTTTGTTTCAATGAAAAGCCGAGGCTACCTGAATAAAAGTAAGAATTAAGGAATTAGAAGCAAGAGGAGTTTGAAAAAGGACAAGGCAGATGTTGGCATTTTATGATGCTTAGAGCTAAACATTCTACCCCAGGTTGAAGGAAAGACAAAATTCACGTGTGAAAAAAACCACAAGAACCTTCCATGTACGTTCAAAAAAAAAATCTAACAGTAGATCTACGAGCCTTAAGCATATTCAGAACAGAATCTGAAATTCCTTGGGTTTCAACAGCCAGGCCCTTAAGGCCAGTGATTGAGAAGCAGGTTGGAAGGTTGGGCTCTGAGCTATCAAATCTTGTCGATCTGGAAGGAACCAAGGATAGTCTGCCAACAGATCAGTCAAGGTAACAGTGTTAGGGGAAGAAAAACCAAGCATACATTAGTGTTAGGGATGCACAGATACTTTTCGAGTACCAGTGCAGATACTTGGCATTTTCATGAGAACTACCAGGGTTGCAGCGGTTGCAGCTGGGACCTGGCTCTGGCTCTCCTCCACTATCCTGAAATCATTAGTCTGTATTGTTTTAGAAAAACTGTCACATGACAATAAACAAAAATGTATCAGTACTCTTAAGTACTCGGCAAGTACCAGTACTCGCAAAAATGGTATCTGTGCATCCCTTTATTTATAAAAACAAAACTGTACATTAAAACAGAGATGTACAAATCCCAGGAGCTCCGTGTGCTCCTTACAAATGTCTAGTCTTGGAGCTCAAAAGTATCTGTACTTGTACCGAGTACTGTACTTGGTATCTGTGCAACCCTAATTAGTGTGTACTGATCCAACAAAGTTACTAATTTACCACTGCACCTGCTGTTGGATCCCTGGTTCTGTACACAAATCTGTCCACCTTGTTGCAACAAGAAGCCAGAAGATGCACATGCGGTGTTCCCCAGCGGTGACACAGTTGTTGAAACACCTCTGGATAGAGAGACCAATCACCAGGATCGAGACGTTATCTGCAGAAAAAGCGGATTGATGTAAGCCATAGCACTGGCTGAATCCAAATGGGACCGCCAGGCAGAACATGGGTCCAGTGAAACATCAGACAAATCACCCTCAAGTCCAGGACATAAATCTGAAGCCTGGATTCCTCCAAAGACAGCCCCATCCCACAAGACGTGGCAATCTTCCATGTTATGGGAAGAAACCGACTTTCCCATTGACAACGCAGGGGATGTCAACCACCGCGACAGAAACATCTTGGCCAGGGCACTCGATCTGATCATCTCGCACAATGATGGAGGAGACTTCTCCCACGTTGTAAGAATGTTCCTCTGTAAAGTCCTGAAATAGAACTGAGCAAAAGGTACCTCTTCGAAGGTTGACACCATCAATCCCAGTATTCTCATGCAGAGGTTCTCAGAGAGGAACAGCGGCGGGATCGAAGTGACCAAACTTCATACCGCAACATCAATATTCAGAGTTAGGACTTACCGGTAACTCTATTTCCATTAGTCAGTTTTGAGGAAAGAGCAACTTTTGCCTGAAGTATATCCAACAGAAAACTCAAATACTCCAAGTGATCTGACAGAACTAGGAATGACTTCTTGATGTGCAGAATCCACCCGCAGTCCTCTAATGTCCACAGCACTGTCTACACATTGAGCTCCAAAGAATAGAGACTTCCAGAATCAGAAGAAATCTTCTGTTGGGTTTGGGAACCGTAAGCAACTTTGAGTCAAAACCTTGAAAACGTTCTGCCAAAGTAACAGGAATAACATCCCCCGGATCTCACAGACTTTGAACTGCACAAAAAAGGTTCATCCAACACTGCCAAAAAAATAAAAATGGGAAGCTGGAATGCCAAGAAGGATGAAAATATATTCGGAAATTTGAGTTTGCTGCATCTCCGCAAATGCTATCAGGCGCCCGTGAAACCTCAAAAAACTACAATATCCAAAATTGACCATAGGCGATGCTTTAATAGCTTTCACCGCTCATTAGTTTAGTGTTATCCGTGATTGATAGCACAAAAATTATTGCTCGCACTCCAACCTTCGCGGCTATATGCAACATGTGTAGCGCAATTGTGGTTTTTGCACGCTGGCGCATCTGACGCGCATCTACGTTTATATATGTGCGTAAACGTGCGGGTGGGGGACTTACACTTTCTGTTTTGTTTTTTTACATGCGACTTCTATTTTTTTTTTACACCTAATGTTATTGCTATAACATGGGGGGTAACAATCATACCAATGGGAGCTTATCGTCTGTTTTTTTTACAACGGGCGGACGGCAAGCAGTTGAGGAGGAATGCACAGCCTCAATCACAAAGGCAACTATTACTTTCTGACACTGAGTAAAATATATAGCATGAAAAAGGGGAGAGCTCGCCCATGTGGCCAATTTGTGAAATACATAAAGTATATACCAAGCACAGGTCACCATAGCAACACCTTGAAAGTACAGGCCACTTGTGACAGGAGGAACCATAAACATCAGTGACACCAATGAAAATCCAAATGTCACAAGTTTCTGAATAAAACCAGTAGTAAGACACATAATATGAAAGGAGAAAATTCACTTTCCCCCAGCGGGAAATTAAAATAAAATCAAACACAGCCAAAGTAGAATAAAAAGGCGGGAAAACACGCAACCTTATAAACATGAGGTACATACTTTTTTTACTCACAACTCCATGGCCCTGTTCCCGATTTAACAGGAATCCCCAAATAATACTAGCCTGACCATTAAATGATGAAAACGGGAACACAGGATGAAGCATAAGTACCAGAAATGACTTGCTTCATAACTGGAGAAACTTCAAGGATTTAACTTATCTGGCATCAATCTCTAAGCTTTGTCAGCTAGATAGAGAGACTTTCAGGATTTTAGTATGCGCTATGAATCAACTAGCAGCTCTTGGTAGTCGAATCTTCAGCGAAGAAATGAAATAAACGAACATAATAAAGTAGAAGAGAAGACGACATCCATTCTCCTGAGGACACCAAGTAAAACTAGCAGGTGGGTGGTGGGGGAGGTTATGTCCTTAAAGTGCCAGGCTTTGTTTGCCTAGTGTCCATTTCTCCTAGAGGCAGCAGAATAACCCTATGTCTCAGAATTCTTCAGAGCTGTGTCCTTCAATGAAGGATAGAGAAATAGCAGGTCACAACAATCAGCTAGAAGGGCAGAGTCACAGAAAAACTTGTGATTTACTTATAATTATATCTACCTATATCTCAGGATCTAGAAATGATTAGAAATCGATATGCATCGTTTATGATAGACTCTGAATTGTGCCCAAATTTGTGATAGGTTTACTATCTTAGGAAGACTCATTGCTACAAAATATTCAGTACAATATTCCTGCATTCAAACTGCAGCCAGCGACAGGAAATTGGTAAATCAGATATTCCACAATAAAAATAACTGGATTCTAACTTCCAATTGTAATAAACATGAAGAAGATTTAGGCCAGATCACATCTTTGCAGTAATGCGTGTCTAGTGTGTTGCAGTGCCATTCATTGAAATAGCACAACAACACACTGAGGCAAAACGCCTATGTTGCAATGTGCTGTAAAGAATCACCATGTGTTACATTAAAATGAAGCGTTAAGTGTGGCTGGACCATGCTGGATTATGATGGCAGCCCATTCAAAATGAATGTACCACCTAGACATAATGCACATTAATGTGCCTGCCTTACTGCAAGACACGGGTGCAATTCTGAGTCCATAGCTGTATACAAATTCAATCCATCGTGTCAGCACTGTTCCCCCTGAATCAGAGCCCAATTCACCAACCTGCAGCAAATCCATCAAATATTCGGTTTTTCCTTAAGACAGGGTGACTGTTGGTGCTGATGAGCACTCCAGCTTGAGCATTCCTGAAAATGTCATTCTCTTCAAGCAACCCTATGAGAGAGGACATGTTAGAAAAACCTGAGATGCAATGGACACCAAATCAAGGAAAGTAGGGCCATCTTACCTCGGCCTCCATTAAATATGCAGATCCCTCCATCTCTCCCATCATGGATTTTATTTCGCCTTAACGTTGGGTTGCTGTCTGTTTTGATCCAAACACCAGCCATTGCATTGTCAAAAATCTCATTGTCTTCAATGAAGCCGAGCCCTGTACAGAGAGGATCCCAGCATTGTTATTAGTACATGTATGTGGGCATTCAGGTATAGAAATAATTTCAACTAAATCACTTGCCAGAATTATAAACGAGGATTCCACCATTCTGACCTCCCCAGATTTTGTTCCGTCTAATTTTAGGATTGCTTCCAGTCCTAAATAAAGAAAATGAAGACTTTTATAAATACAATACATAGAAATGAACACAAGGCAAGCCATTTAAAAACATTTTTCATCGGTTTCAATATTGTCTTACTCTTAATTGTCCAAGTTACCCTCATGTTCATTGTCCAAGTTACCCTCATGTTCTGTGAATACTGCACACTTACAACAACAGACCTCAACTCCATCATTATGGCAAAGCAACTTAAGGAAGTTAGCAGATGCACCTTTTACCTTTATTCCTGTTGTGTGTGGAGAGCCATAATGCGAATATTGGGTCTGCCAGCTGAAAATTGCCTTCTCAAAAAGCTTGCAGGGATGAGCTAAGAACATGTAGAACTAAAGTGATGCTTTGGGAAGCCATTTTCTTAAGTCACTATTGCCTGTCCCTCTCATTAGCGTTCACATTTAAATATGAAGAGCCAATGCGCATTCACACCTATATCGTGTGTGCGTGTACGCAGTATATGCAATATTATTTTTCATCAGATTTTCTGCTTTCCTCATCTGTAGCTGTCAAATTCCAATTTCTTCAATCATTCAGCCTATAGCTTATTTATGCAGTAGAGGCTGCTGACTGCCTACATTTGCTTCTTTTGCACAACACATATATAAATTAAACGACTATTTGGATGCCTTTTATTTTATTTGGCTGAGCTCTAAAGCAGGCAAGCAGTAGTCCCTGCAATATATTTAAGAAAGGAATTGGTAAACGAAGATTAAACAACTGTTGGAGAACATTCTTTAAAAAAAATGATATCAGAATTCTGGGAATGCTCTTGTACAATCTTTCAAAGTGGAGCAGTGACAAAGTGCTGCTTTGAGTAGAATTGTCCTGTCATTCAGCCAGAAATGAGAGGCATGATGTCCTCCTCAGTGATTAAAGGGAACCTGAAGGGAAACATAAGCTTGTAAAATGACTGCCATATTTACAAAGCGTATTAATGCTCCTTACCAACGTTGTTCATACAACAAAAACCCACAGTTGAGATGATGGAAAAATAGGATTTTTGTGTAGTTTGCAGCCCTGGGATACCATCTCCTGCACACAAGCATCAGATAAAAGTTGTCCAAGTGTTCCTCTACTCTAGAAAGTGAGGGATCAACTGGATGCCAAAGAATGTTATTTGTGGAAGTGGCACACTGACTGCCAGACCAAGCAGATGGGGAGGGAGGAGGAGATCCCTCAGGCTTCTACTACTGAGAAAGATTGCTTCTCTTGCTAATCAGAAACATTCCAGAAATGATCCAAAAAGACGTTGCCCCTTAAGACTTGTGGTGCTTCTGATACAAGAAGCCCTTAGTCCAGCAACAGAATCACAGACGATCAGTGACAGGTGAACCATGCAATAAAACCAGAAAGTTTTAGCAGACCAGCACACCTGACATGAAAAATTACAGTATACTCTATGGTTTGACAAGTTACAATCACAAGCCGTCAATGCTACTAATGTAAAAGGTAAATCAGACTGCCTCAATAAGGAGATAATACATTCTCAGATGTGGGCTTAACAGCCACAGACCAAAAGTCTACATCTAATAATCCATATGCAAAGGGATCCAAATCTGAACCTGGGTATCGAAAGTACAATACCCAATAAAGCACACATAGTGGACATAGAGAAAGCTGCAAGGAAATTCACCGGTCAGAGTGACAAGGTAAGTACTGTTCTCATCTGCATCAGAGCATGTAGAGTTGCACGTTGCAACAGCAGTTGTACATTAACTGGGAGAGGCTTTAGATCTAAACTCCTCAAACAACATCTAAATCGTAGGAGATGGCCGATAAAAATCTCCAGCAGCCTAACAAAAGCCAGGTGCAGCTCTATGGGTTTTTGTGTGCAGATTTCAGCAGACTTGTGTGTGCAGACCTGTCTTAAATTGTATTGTGACTGTAAGGTCTTCCTTATATTGTAAAGCGCTGTGCAAACTATTGGCGCTATATAAATCCTGTATAATAATAATAATAATCACGATAGGCATGGACAGAAATGGAGCTGCCTGTCATATGTCTACCAAGCCACTAGATGGCAACAGTATCAAGCTGCACCACTGTTACTACAATACTGTAGAACTCCTCCCAGCAGCCCCTCTGCATAGTAATTGTGTCACCACCCATCTTTATCAATTATATGGCAAAGTGTTATGACAAGCATACACAAGGTGTATTCTATTTGTAACCTGAATCTTTGTGATATGTTCCTTAACCCCTTCGTGACTGACGACATACAGTGTACGTCGCCAGCATCGGGGCTGTTTAAACAGACTCCCGGCGACTTTTGCCGCCGGGAGTCTGTTTAAACTTGTAGAGCCGACTGTCGGCTTTACAACAGAAGCGATCCTGGCAACTTACCTGTCGAACCCGACAACGCAACTGCACCAGAATCGGGGCTAGCACCTTGGTGAACACACGTGGGGCCGACGCCAGCCCGAAGGGCAGCGCCACAAACTGAAAATGCTCCACCCCCACCGCGAAACGAAGATACCGCTGATGAGACTCGCAAATGGGTACATGAAGGTATGCATCCCGGATATCGATGGAGGCCAGCAGATCCCCCTGACGGAGCCGTGCCGCCACGGACCGGATGGACTCCATCCGGAACCGACGGACCCGCACGAAGGCGTTCAAGCGTTTGAGGTCCAGGATGGGCCGCACC